TCGTCCGCCCTTCCAGGCTCTCAGTAATCAGGGGAGGTGTTAATGGAGGATGCGGCCGTCAGTGAACCTCATAAAGCCCGGAGCATCCCAGGGCGCGAGCGCAGCGCGAAGCTGGAGTCCCGCAGCGCGCCCAGGGCTCCCGGCCCCCAGCCTGCCTTTGCCTTCCCCAGCCAGTGTCTAAAGACGCCGCCGCCAGCTGGTGCCGGCGGAGACGGGGGAAAGGGCGGGCGCTCCTGCCGGGAGCCGGGCTCAGCCATTGATTGCTCAGCCGCCACATCCCCGCCTTCCCCTCGTGGTCCTGCCTTCACTCCGAGCGCTCCCGAGCGGGACTCCAGCACTTTGGGGAGCCCTCTGCGCTCCAGGGTGCTCTGTGGGTGGTAGGGTCAGCGTGCACAGGCCGCAGAGGTGATCCGAGAGAAAAACCTCAAACACTGAGATACCAGCGTTCTCGAGGTGTCAGCCAGACATCCCGATTATGGGACGAAGCCAGGGTATCGTTACCTGGTCTCCGCTTTGTGGGGGGCTGCTGCGCCGTCCTGGTCGCCCCGGGCACAGTCAGGCCCCGGGGAAACGAAAGGGGGGCTGGTAGTGGGGACCCTAGCAATGACTTGCCCCTCCCCCCACCCGATGCGCCCCTCAGGGTCGGGGGAAGGGGGCGGGGGATGATTGCTGCAAGGCTCCCGCACCGGGAAGGATGTGTGAATAGCAAGATTGGTCGCTGGTGTGTGCCTGTCCCTGGGATGGTGCCGCCCTCCTCAGCCCCCCTCCCCAAGCATCATCTCGGCGCTCCCGGCATCAGTGCGTGGAGGGCACGCAGCGAGCGCAGTGAGCCTCTGAGCAGCCTGCAAGAGCTGCGCGGGACTAGGCTGCGGGACTCTGGCTGCGCAAGGACCCTCTCTTACTCCTGATCCCACAAGCTCAGCTGCAAGTTTAGGAAGTGGGGCGGGAAGGTGGTCTGGAGTTGACCTGGAGTGCGATCCAGCCCGCAGGCTTTTTCTTTCCATTCCAATTCCCGATTGCGGTTCGGGGAGCCCTGGGGTAGAGCTCAGCCTGACTGAACATTCGGCTTAACCAAATGGCCCCATGGGTTTACCTTTTAGTCGACTTGACTCTCCCCTTCGCATCCCAACCTCTCCTACTCCCTGTGTCTTCACGGTCCGGTCTGGCACCCTAATCTGGTTCTGCGTTAGCAGCGCGGGAGGGGACAAATGAATTGGTTCAGCTTCTAAGTTTGCTGCCAAGACCAGCGGTTAGATGCACAGTTATATCAGCTCACAAACGTCCGTGTCCTTGCACTCCTGCATGTCCAAAGTAGTACGCTGGTTTTGTTGATTTTGGATCATTTCCCCCCAAAGTCGTAGTTTTTGAAACCTCTTTTGAGTCACAAACGATTTTAGGTATTTGATTAAATAATGCGTCCTCTCCCCTCCCTGCACGCGCGCGCGCATAGAGACGCACACACCTCTCTCTCTCTCTCTCTCTCTCT